CCCCCCCCCTCCCTTCCCCCCTCTCTCTTCTTCTCTCTCACACTCTCTCCCCAACCCTTTCTCTCTTTATCCTCTCCCCCTCTCTCCCTCCAATCATCTCTCCCTCTATTTCTCCCAATACTCTCTCTCCACGTGTCCCCCCACTCACTATCCTCCCTCTCTCTTTCCACCCGTTTCCCTTCTCTTTCCTCTCCACCTGTCTTCCCCCTCCCCCCCTGTCTCCCCTTCTCCCTCCACCTCTGCCTTCTTACCCTTCTCCCTCCCCCTCTGCCTTCTCATCCTCCTTCTCCACCTGCCTGCCTCCTTCTCTCTCTTTCCGGCATTCTTTTATCAAGTATTCCTCGCAGTGAGACTACAGCAACCGCGCATAATCCGGTATTATGTTTTAAATATTTACATATTTATTTATTTATTGAAATTTATTTATATTTAGTGTTAAATAATAATCTGATAATAAATTATCAGATCCTCCAACCTCAGCCTCCTTTTTGCTGGCCAAATCCAGATATTTCGCAACTCGGGGAAAGAAACGAACTCGAGACATGCGATGCGACGAAGGGATGTAAAAAAAGAAAGAAAGAGAAAAAAAAAGATGAAAAAGACGAATCTACAGTCTCCGTTTGGTAACATGCCCCTTTTGTCCCACTCAAGGTTTAAGTATTTCAACCTTGGTCCCACTGCCACCATCCGCTAGGTGGTGTCAATCCCTTTGGGCGTCTCCTGCTGTCCTTTATGCCACGCCAAAAGCATACATCCTCACACCGAATAATCAGTAGCAATCCTTCGAGAAACTGATGACTGGAACAAATGAAAGGATACGAGTATAAATGTGTGAAAATGCTGCAATAACAAGCCATTTTAGCCTGTAGCGAGACTGCTCTAATCACGAAGATGATGATGATGATGATGACGACAGCAACAACCGCCAGATTATTCCCTAAGACCCGAAGGCAGACATTGTTCGGAAGGAAGCGCCCTCAACAGCCTGCGACGTCTAAAACACTAATGGGCGTAATAAAGTGAGGCGGAGAAGGGTTGCTGGCAGGAGAGGAACCGCCAACATGGCCGTCTGCAAATGCTGTACGAGGAAGGATATAAAAACAAAAGACAGAACAAAGCGAAAAGAAGAGGGAAGAATAATGACAGAAAATATAATAAGCAGCACGAGCAAAAGGGAAACAGAATAATAGTGAAACACCAAACCGAACCGCAATCCAACCAGAAGCAGGCCCTCTATCCCTAAAAAGAAACTGGTGTGAGCTAAAAGTGCCAAGAGGTGAGAAGAGGCACAAGCGACTGGAGCAAGAGATCCCCGAAGAGCCAAAAAAAACACAAGCTATCGGTGCGAGCGAGGTTAGAGCCAGAGTCACGAGAGCCAGGAACCACAAACTGCAAGAGCGCGAGGGCCAAGAACCTCACGGACGAAAAGAACCTCGAGATACAGGAGCGAGAGGAGCCAAACACAAGTTACTGAAGCAAGAAGTCAACAGCCATAGAGGCAAGAAGAGACCCGAGCTACAGGAACGACAGCAGTCACGAGCTACAGAAGCGAGGAGAGCCAAGAGCCAAAGGGGTGAGAAGAGCCGCCAGACTCGGGAGCGAGAACAGCAAAGAGCCAAAGGATCCAGAATGGCCACAAGCCACAGGAGCGAGAAGAGCCAAGGTCCGCCGGGGCGAAACGAGGCACAAGCTACGCGACCGAGGAAAGACAAGAGCCAAAAGAGCCAAAAGACAAGGGCCAAAAGAGCCAAAAGACAAGGGCCAAAAGAGCCAAAAGACAAGGGCCAAAAGAGCCAAAAGACAAGGGCCAAAAGAGCCAAAAGAGCCTCACATTACAAGCGCCATCAGAGCCAAGAGCCGCTGGAGAGAGAAGCGACGCCACCAACATGAGCCCCAGGGGGAAGGACCGGAGGCCACGGGGGCGAGAGGAGCAGCGACCCGCCGAGCGACAGCAAGGGCAGAGCAGGGCGTCTGAACTTCGCAGGAGAGAGAACAATGAGACCGCGACGCAGAACCACCGGAGGCGCGCGTGCCCCGACCTCCCTCCGAGGGGATAAAAGAGAGAGAGAGAGAGAGACTTTCGCAACCCTCGCAGCAGCACGTGCACCCCGGCCTTCTGTTAGCAGGCCACTCCTTCCGCCTCCCCCCTCCCTCGCCCTCCCCTCTCGACGCCCCCTACCTGAACGCCCCGAGCCCACACGTAAACAAAAACTCCCCGTCTCGCCTCGCACCTGCACGAAGGGGAAAAGCACGACCTCATCTTCTCAGTATCTCCTTATACTTTCTCCTCCTCCCCGTGCCTCATCAGCCCTCTTCTGACTTTACCTCCTTTTCTCAAAACCAGGCCCTTCCCTCCCCCTCACGCCCTGCCCTCATGAATGAACAACGATGATAATGATGAGAAAAACGGTGATCATGATAACAATGATATCGTCATCATCAACAGCAATAACAATGATAACATCATCATCAACAATAACAACGATATCATCAACAACAATAACAACGATAACATCATCAACAATAACAACGATAACATCATCAACAATAACAATAACAACGATAACATCATCAACAACAATAACGATAACACCATCAACAACAATAACAACGATAACATCATCAACAACAATAACAACGATAACATCATCAAAAACAACAACAACGATAACATCATCAAAAACAATAACAACGATAACATCATCAACAACAACACTAACAACGCCAATAAAAAAAATAATGATGGTGATGGTGATGATGATGATGACGATGATAATAACAACAATAACACTAATAAATAACAATAACAACAGATCACTCACCTACGGCCCGGGACACCCTTGTCCAGTACGGAAACAACACGTACCTGGAATAAAAGAAAAGGAAATGTAACATCAGGCTCATTTCTTCGCTTACCGTGGCATGCGAATCGTCATTTCGCAATTACTCCTGACATGATCAGAACATGAGCCACACAAGAAACCGGAAACATAAAATCACTATAAAGGGAATTATATGCAATGAATGCGCACCGCTAAATGTATTAAAATAATCTCTTTTTTTTTCTAAGAGGAAATGGTGAGAATCGGTGAGTAGACGAAGGAAAGAGGAAGAGGGGGAGAAAGGTGGAGGGAAGAGAGGAAGAGAAGGTGGAAGAAGAGGATGAAAAGGGAAGAGGAAAAAGGTAGAGGGAAGGAAGAAGGAGGAGGAGAAGGAGCAGGAAAGGGAGGAGGNAGCGAGAACCGACAGAAGACGCGGAGAGAAAGAAAGGAAGACGAGGAGCTAGAGGGGAAAGAAGAGAGAGAGAGAGAGAAAGAAAGAGGGATAGATAGACGAGAGGAGAGAGAGAGAGAGAAGAGGAGAGGGGGGAAAGAAAAGAGGAGGAGGAGAGAGAGGAGTACAGAGAGGAAGAGAGGAGGAGAGAAAGACAAGGTAAAGAGAAGAAGGAGGAGAAGAGAGAAAGAGAGAGGATGACGAGAGAAAAGAAAGAGAAGAGAGACCGAACGAGGACGGGAGAGGGAGAGCAGCAGAGAGACAAGGAGAGAGGGGAGAGACAGAGGAGAGAGGAAAGGAGAAGAGGAGAGAGAGAGAGAGAGGAGAGAGAGAGATGGCGAGAGAGAGAGAGACGGAGAGAGAGAGCTTCTTGTTCGGGTTTATTTTGTTTACCCTTTTTGCGTTTTTTGTGTTTGTTTCTGTTTTTTTCTTTGAAGAATGAGAAGAAACGATGAGTCGAGGGAGAGAGAGAGATGAGAGAGGAGGGGAGAGAGCCCGAGAGAGAGAGAGGGTGTGGAGTGAGAGAGAAGAAAGAGGGAGAGAGGAGCAGAGAGAAGAGAGGACGAGACGAGAGGAAAGAAGAAGAGAAGAAAGAAACAAGAGAGAGGAGAAGAAAGGAGAGAGGGAGAAAGAAGAAAGAAAGGAGCAGAGAAAGTAAAGAAAGAGAGAAGAAGAAAGAAAGAGAAGAGAGGAGAGGAGAAGAAAGAAAGAGAGAGAGAAAGAAAGAAAGAGAGGAGAGAGAAAGAAAGAAGAGAGAGAAAGAAAGAAAGAAGAGAAGAAAGAAAGAGAGAGAGAGAAGAGAGAGAGAGAGAGAAGAAGGAGAGAGGAGAGGAAGAAAGAGAGAGAGAGACAGAAAGAGAGAGAGAGAGAGAGAGAGAGAGAGAGACAGAAAGAGAGAGAGAGAGACAGAAGAAGAGAGAGAGACAGAAAGAGAGAGAGAGAGAGAGAACAGAAAGACAAGAGAGAGAGACAGAAAGAGAGAAGAGAGAAGGAGAGAGAGAGAGGAGAGAGAGACAGAGAGAGAGAGAGAGAGAGACAGAGAGAGAGAAGAGAGAAGAGAGAGAGAGAGACAGAAAGAGAAGAGAGAGAGAGAGAGAGAGAGAGAGAGAGACAGAAAGAGAGAGACAGAAAGAGAGAGAGAGAGACAGAAAGAAAGAGAGAAGAGACAGAAAGAGAGAGAGAGAGACAGAAAGAGAGAGAGAAGACAGAAAGAGAGAGAGAGAGAGAGAGAGAAAGAGAGAGAGAGAGAAGAGAGAGAGAGAGAGAGAGAGAGAGAGAGAGAGAGAGAGAAGAGAGAGAGAGAGAGAGAGAGAGAGAGAGAGAGAGAGAGAGAGAGAGAGAGAGAGAGAGAGAGAGAGAGAGAGAGAGAGAGAGAGAGAGAGAGAGAGAGAGAGAGAGAGAGAGAGAGAGAGAGAGAGAGAGAGAGAGAGAGAGAGAGAGAGAGAAAGAGAAAGAGAAGCAAAAAAAGTAATAATAATAACGGAAATTGAAATCTTCATAAATTTGAATATGCATTACACACTCCACACTCATGCCTGTCCTTGCAACATGAACAGAAACTATCAATATAATGGTAAAATATACTTCTCTGTTTCACATTTGCATTTCATCTACACAGTAAAATAGAAAATGATAATTCTATCCACCCCGTGGTATCGTATATTCACCAGCAATAATGGTATGCCTCTTTCACCTTTGGGGGGTCTTCGAGCTATGAGCCGCATGGCCAACAAATCCTTGTTTTTACGGTCACGAGCTTACTCTGGAGGCCATTGGTTAGTTGGACTTCTAGAAGGCTAGTTCTGATGAATATAAAATGGGCTTGAGATATAAGAAATCCTCAAGTTTTAAAGAGAGACATTCACTCTGAGGAAGGAAGTGATTTCACAATGCACTTCACATCAACATGAGGTTTCCACATATGCTTCTAGATCCTCCACGATGGAAAACAGGCAACCATACCTCCCACATATGACAGTGAGCGAGTCATAGGAACCAGTTTGAGTGTTATTAAGAGCCAAATATCTCGACAAACACTTAAATACTGTATCGTGTGACCCTGAAACAACACACAAAGACCTATTGAACCTGTGCTCTAAGGGTTCACCTCGTCCCGCTTGTTATATCACTCATAGTGCATATACCATACTCTTGAGATAACCTGTTTTGTACAAATGTCTCTATTATGCCTTAATTCCATACAAATGCTAAACACACATGCTTTGTTTCTACACACGAACCATCGTCTGCGTGAAGGACATTTACTATTATTGCAACTGAAAATTTGCACACAAACATGTCCCATGAAGCACATTACCAGAATCTGTTCACGTTAAATTTACCTGCTAACTGTTTCCGGAGGAGCAGAGCACTCTGTGGTTCACCCATGTCGGAAAATAATGAAAAAACCGAGAGAGAGTGAAGGTGGTGTGTGTATCCCTGGGTCTGGCAGCACACCCGCGCATGCGCTCAACACGGACACTCACGCCGCATATATTTCTTCATCTTCGTCTTCTTCGAATTATATATTTCACGTTTCTTAATTTCCGTACTTCATTTCTTCATATATGCGTATCTCTTCTCTTTCCCTTCTTCGAATTGCATAGAATGTTTTTCTCAGATTTTATTTATCTATTCACTTTCGCCTTGAAACTACATATTTCATATTTTTTCATCTCCATTTATTTTCTCCTTTTCGCCTCCTTTGAGTTTGATATATGTCATATTTCTCAGTCACCATACATTCTTTTTGACTTCATCGAAATATGTTTTTAAAAATCTTCATCTTCACTTGCATTTCCTTCATCTTCATATTTTTTTTCCTATTCGTCTTCTCCGAATTATGGAAGTCCCGGTTTCGTGGTGTATCTGTTCATTACAAAACGCGTTGTTTCTTTTCGTTTTGTATAAGTTAAAGGATTTATTCGGACGAATTAGTAAAAAAAAAAAATCACCCGGAAGAGTCATTGGGAATGTTTTTTTATCGTTTATGAAGAAAGTTTCTTTTCTTTTCTTTTGTTTATAGGTAAAGGTATAGAGTCGATTCTCGATAACCCGCTACAGACATATGACAGATGGATCCCAGTTTAATTTACAATTGGCAGTTTTAGCTAATCATTCTTTCTCAATAATCAGACGTTGTATCTAAAACGTATTCAGATTTTGCTGAGGAAATACAACAGGTCGTTTAGTTTTTTTTCGAAATACTCCTCTTCAGATACGATACACTTGTGAATTGTCTCTAATGTATCGATGTACCCGGCATGGTTATTTAATTCACATTAATATTCATATAAATATACATAGCTATATGATATATTATGCCCACTTCTCAGAATTCACTCAGCCATTGCATTTCGGATTTGACTATTTCCACTCCTACTAAATTTACCCTTGAATTTTCACTTAAAACAAATATAGAATAAAATGAAACGATTCATAAGCCACGAAGAACAGTCTTCCTTAGTTATCAATAAAATCATGTGGCATAAATACTGTATTTGGTAACAGTTTCAAGTTACGACTGTTTGTTCGGTCATTCACCTGACAGTTTTAAGGAATGGATGTGAGACAACAGAGAATTGAATCGAATTTAATTGCTATTGTTCTGTTAACTG